ATCAACTAAACTGTCCTTCTAGACCAGCGTGCACTGCATTGATTTCGGACACTTAGCTGAACCTGGTTTCAGCCACATATCAACATTTTGCTGTGATGTTGTTCCAGAATATGCCATGTATGTATATCCAGGAAGGAGAAGGAAGCTGTGGTGTGGTTTTGTTTTCTTGGTGTATGTGTTGAGAGGGGGGAGGTTGGCAGAGCCAGGGGTACTTAGTGAAATTTATTCCACATGGGTCAGCTCTCACCAAGAGATCTAATCACTAGAATTACTGCTCACCTCTCTTTCACCGCTAAATCCTCTATTCTTAATGTTTTCCTAATATTTTAGGGTGAAAATTTATAAACATACAGAAAAGTCAAAAGAACTGTAGAGTAAATATCTATATATCCACATTAAAACTCTGTGATTCCTAACATTTTGCCAAATGTGCTTTTGTTAACCAAATGTGCGTTATCACATATCTACCTCTACATAAATCTGGTTTTTTATACAATTTAAAATAAGTTCCAGACATTCATATACTTTACCCCTAAATATTATACTTCAGCATGTATAGCATTAACTAAAGTTCAATATTTATTTATGGGGTTTAAGTTTTTTGTTTTGTTTTGTTTTTTTGAGATAGGATCTTGCTCTGTTGCCTGGATTAGAGTGCAGTGGCATCATCACAGCTCATTGCAACCTCAAATTTCTGGGGTCAAGCAATCCTCCTGCCTCAGCCTCTCAAGTAGTTGGGACTATAGGCATGTGCCATCACGCCCAACTAGTTTTTCTATTTTTTGTAGAGATGGGGTCTCACTATGTTGCTTAGTCTGGTCTTGAACTCCTGGCCTCAAGTAGTCCTACTCCTTTGGCCTCCCAAAGTGCTAGGATTATAGATGTGAGCTACTACACCTGTCTACTTATGTTTTTCATGTAAAATTTGCATATAGTGAAATGAACAGATTTGAAATATAGCATTTGATGAGTTTTGACAAACATACACACATAGGTAACTCAAACATATATTAAGAGGTGAAACATTCCCATCACCCCCATCCCTTCTAGTCAATTTCTGCCCTGACCTCTGCTCCCAAAGATAACCATTGATCTGTTTTCACTACAAATTAGTTTTGCTTGTTGTAGAACTTATTAATAGAATCATAAAAGGTGTTCTCTTTTGTGTTTGACTTCTTTCACACAGTCTAATGTTTTTGAGATTTATTCCTGATGTGGTATGTATTCTATAAACATACAGAGGCTTATATACTTCATTCTTCCATTGAGGAACACTTGGGCTGTTTTCAGATTTTGCTTTTATAAATAAACTGCTATGAACATTCTTATACCAGTCATTTTGTGCACATATATTTTCAATTCTCTGGGGTAAATTCCTAGGAGGAGAATTGTTGGACAAACAGTTAGTGTATGTTTAGATTTTTAAAACTGCAAGACCATTTTCAAACATGGTTGTACCATTTCATGCTCCCCAAAACAACATATGAGAATCAAATGTATTATATCCATGTATATTAGAAACTCTATAATTTAATGTTATAATTTTTGCTTTAAACAGCCATATGTATTTTAAAGAAATTAAGGGGAAAAAATAAAAGTAGTCTCTTATATTTACCAACATATTTATTATCTCTGGCATTCTTCCTTTGTCCCCTCTAGGTCTGTGTTTCCATTTGATATCACTTTCCTTCAGCCTGAAAATCTTCCTTTGGCATTTCTTATAGTATAGGTAGGTTGATAATTTTCTTGATTTTCACTTATATTAAAATGTCTTTATTTTGCCTTTACTCTTAAAAATTCTTTTTGTTGATTATTGAATTCTGGGTTGACATAGTCTTTTTTTGTTTCGGCACTTTGAAGACTTCTTCCACCGTCTTCTGGACTCTCTTCTTTCCTTCTCTTTTTTTGAGACAAGGTCTTGCTTTGTTGCCTGGGCTAGAGTGCAGTGGTGTCACCATAGCTCACTGCAACCTCAAGCTCCTGGGTTCAAGCAATCCTACTACCTCAGCCTCTTGAGCAGCTGGGACTACAGGCATGTCCCACCACACCTGGCTTATTTTTTCTATATATTTTTTTTTAGAGATGGGGGTCTCACTAGTTTGCTCAGGCTGGTCTCAAACTCCTGGCCTCAAGTGATCTTCCTGCCTTGGCCTCCTAAAATGCTGGGATTATAAGCATGAACCACTGTACCTGGCCTGTTTTGGTTTTTTTTTTTATTGTTTGTTTTTTGTTTTTAATTAATGTATTTTCAGACTTGATGCTTTCCATTAACCCAGGGGTCCTCAAACTTTTTAAACAGGGGGCCAGTTTACTGTTCCTCAGACCGTTGGAGGGCAGGACTATAGTTTAAAAAACACTATGGACAAATTCCTATGCACACTGCACATATCTTATTTTGAAATAAAAAAACAAATGGGCAAAAACACCCACATGTGGCCCATGGGGTGTAGTTTGAGGACGCCTGTGTTAACCTAACTTCAAATGTATGTCTCTTTCTCTGTGATCTCTAATGTTTTAAGCCCATCCAATGCATATTCTTATTTCAGATATCTTATTTTTCCATTTTACTTTCTTATAGTTTCTATTTCTCTGTTGAGATTTCCTATCTCTTCTTTCATTATGAGCATATGTTACTTTACATATTTGAACATAGTTATAATAACTTTTAAAACCCTTTTCTATTAATTCTGACATCTGTCAGGGTCATCTTGGAGTTGGTCTCATTGAATGCCTTTTTTGAGTATAAGTTATATTTCCTATTTCTTCATATGTTCAATAATTTTGGAATACATCTTGGACATTGTGAATGACACACTATAGACACTTGAAATTTTGTTCTATTATTCTACATAAAGTATCAACTTTTTTTGTTTTAGTAGGCAGTTAACTCTAATGAACTCAAACACCAAACTGTTTCTCTTAAAGTGGGTAGCAGCTAAAATCTCTGTTCAGTTCTTTCAGCCTTAGCTGAGTTGCTTGGAATCTGCCGTCACATGATTGCTTCAGGGGTTACCTGGAGATATGATCAGAATTTATATATAGAATTTGGCTCTCTCTTTTCCAGGATTTTCCCCTCACTTTCTGGTGGCTGTCATGGCCCAAACTCTGTCCCCTGATTCCTCAACCAATAAGACTACAGGTTTCTACACAAATTTTAGTAGCACTGTGGGATTGGGGCCTGCACTCTGGCAAAAAAAGAAAAGACATAAAAACAGAGGATCCACTCAAGTGTTATTCCCTTCTTTCAAGTGTTAATGCTGTTCCAATTTCTGCCTACTTTGGGTTACTGTCCAGTACTTTCACATAGTTGTTTGTTTTATATTTTGCCCAGAGTTTATAATTGTTATTTGTGGCCAGACTGACATGAGCTACTTTGCCATTATCAGAAGCAGAACCTTCTCTCTTTCCTTTATGAAGCAACAGAGAGAATATAAATGATCCTAACATAAATACCAGACACTCTATAAAAATAAGGCAATCTATGATTCACACTTATGCACCTTTTGTCTTCTGATTAAAGAGTAAATCTACAAGAGACTCTAGTAGCACTATCCCATAGAACTTTCTAACGTAATAGAAACTTTTTTTCTGTGTGGTCCAATATGGCAGCCACTAGCCACAATTGGTTACTGAGCAGTTAAAATATGGTTACTATGATTGGGAAACTAAATTTTCTACTTTATTTCATTTTAATTAATTTAATTTAAAATAACTACATATAGCTAATACATACAGGCAATACAGCTCTAAAAATCACCAAATTAGATTTAGACTAAATCTCAATCTAAAAGATTGCTTTTCTTGTTTTACAGATGATGACCTAGCAACCCAAAGAACTTCCAAAAGAGGCCTGCCCGTGATATATGGCCTTTGGTGGCGAAACCAGAATTTGAATTTCGATCTCCTAATTCGTAATCTGAAGTTCTTTATACTCTACATATGAAGAGACTGCAAAATGTTATGGTTGAAAGAGGAAAACTAAAAATATAATAAGGTAATGACAAAGTAGAAGTTGAAAAAATATAGTTGGAAAAAATGGAATAGCTGAGGGCGGAATGATTTGCAAACATATCATACATTACAAATACATATACACATATTCACTGAGTGTACAATTTCTTTTTAGGTAATAACTATTTTATCAGTAGAAGAAAAAGAGCTTTTTATAACTTATTATAGGCCCAGAAGGTCTGATTCAGCTGATTTATCATACAAAGTAAAAAGAGCATAACCAAAAAACTGATGTCCTATCTGCATTCTTCACATGTGTCTACTTTCCAAGTCCTCCAGTTTTCAGTGATTTGAGAGTTAGTTTAGCAATCCTATTTGTTTCTCAAAAGCCTGTAAGATACACACCCCAGAAAAGGTTGCTAAGCCTTCCCCTCATGAACTTAATACATCCTATAACAATATGATTCTCTGCTAAAATGGAATGCTTTTTATCTTTTAATCTACTACCCTGTACTACTAGAAGTAACTACCTCAACTACTACTCTCTCTCCCCCTCTCCCTCCCTCTCTCTCCCTTTCTCTCTATCTCTCATACACACATTGCCCACACCCTGTTACACACCCCTACACCCCACAGACCTTTGTATGGATTTCATATTAGCACTACTGCAAATTATAGAATAATACACGTGGTGTAGAAAATGTCTGCAAAAAGGTCCAAGAAAAATAGCATTGTCTTCAGAGAAAGTGCTGTGGTCAGGATGATGTCATCAAAAACCATCTAATTAATTTCCTGTAGCCATATCCTAAAGGAAATCCAGAAGGCTCGATTTTCTCACAAACTCAAATAGTCTTTTCTTTTGGTCAGTAACTGTTTGTTCATGCAAACCCATAGGTGTTATAAAGTGATAACGATACATTCTTCGATCACAAAGAACGAAATTTCATTTTAAAAGATCTTTTCTGTGAGCGGCATCATCAGAATATAAAAAGTATTTTTTATTAAGAGTTGGTGTCTTGCTATGTTGCCCAGGCTGGCCCCAAACTCCTTCAGCTCAAGCCATTCTCCCACCTCAGCCTCCCAAGTAGGTGGTACTACAAGTGTGTGCTACCACACCTGGCTAAAAGTATCCTTATTGAACGTGAATTTTAGATTTCAGTTACTGAGAACAAAGTAATTGCAGAAAAAGACAAGATGAATAAACTCAGTTGGTATTTACTCTTGGCTTCATGGGGCTTCCTTTCCAGCTCTGAATAAAACAAAGGCCACCACTCATAAGAACCAAGAAGAGAAGAACACTCTACCTACTGTCACCCTCAAGGTTCTCCCTCCAGGCCAATAAGCAATTATCACCACTGGGCTGGAACACTTTAGGAGGTTTGCCAGGAGGTCTGAGCTCCTCAAGGGCAAAAATGATGGCATATTTATTCATCTTTATACCCAAAGGCATCACAGCACTGGCACATAGTATGCACAGAGAAAACACATTGAGCGAATGGATAAGATTATTAATATAAATAAGCTATGCTCCTTTCCCTCCAGAAGTTCCCAGTTGTGGTAGTGGCTGTCCAGTGGGGAGACAACCACTACTACAAATATATGAAAAGTGCTATATAACTGAGAAATCACCGAGGGCCATAGTTTGCCAATTAATTTGAAAAAAATCTCAAAAATTGATATCAAGTGCTGATATTTTTAGAGAAGCCTTTTTGGTGAACATGTTAAAAGATTTGAGAAAAATCTGTTAATTTAAAATGTGCATTGGATATGACACTAAAGTATGGGTAACAAAAGAAAAAATAAACAAATGGGACTACATCAAGCTAAAAGGCTTCTGCACAGCAAAGAAAACAACCCACAAAATGAAAAGGCAGCCTACAGAATGGGAAAAATTTTGCAAACCCTATGGTATATAAGGGAACTCATACAACTCAATAGCAATAAATAAATAAAAATAACCAGATTTTAAAAATAAGCAAAAGACTTGAATAGATATTTTTACAAAGAAGACATATAAATAGCCAATAGGTACATGGAAAGGTACAAAACAGACTTCCTCTCAAGCTTGGCGTTTGCCCGGTGGGGACCCACGTGGATTCCACATGCGTATGGAGAAAAGTGTTATTTCTGCTGGGGCCAATCTACCCTGGCCACGGCATGATGTTCGTCCGCAACGATTGCAAGGTATTCCGTTTTTGTAAATCCAAATGTCATAAAAACTTTAAAAAGAAGTGCAACCCTCGCAAGGTCAGGTGGACTAAAGTCTTCCAGAAAGTAGCCGGTAAAGAGCTTATAGTGGATAATTCATTTGAATTTGAAAAACGTAGAAATGAACCTGTGAAATACCAGAGAGAGCTATGGAATAAAACTACTGATGCAATGAAGAGAGTTGAAGAGATCAAACAGAAACACCACGCCAAATTTATAATGAACAGATTGAAGAAAAATAAAGAGCTACAGAAAGTTCAGGACATCAAAGAAGTCAAACAAAACATCCATCTTATCCAAGCCCCTCTTGTAGGTAAAGGAAAGCAGCTGGAAGAGAAAATGGTACAGCAATTACAACAGGAGGTGGACATGGAAGATGTTTCTTAAAAATCTCACTGTAACCATTTCTATATGTACATTTGAAAGTGTCCACTAGAGACTAGAACTTCTAAGTTATTGGTTTATTTTTACATAACGTCACTCAAATAAAAAGTGATTAAAAATGTATTTCCTACACTGCTGTCTGCAAAACATCAGATGGTATGGATGTTAGATTGCATCTCAATGTTAAGCCTTTACTGATAGATGTGCTTATGTAAATTATGAAAATTCTGTTTGTAAATATAGAAATGAATTGTGGACAAAATGGTCATTCCATTTGGATAATGGCACTAGGCAGCATTTATATATAACTTAGGACAAAAATTCTGGCGAGTGATATGTAAAATAAAATTTTCTTTGCAGAAAAAAAAAAACCACGATAAGATATCACATCATGCCCATCAGGTTGGCTATTATGAAAAAGACAAGAGATAAGTGGTAGTGAAGGTATGCAGAAAAGGGAACCCTTTATCATGTTGGTGGGAATGTAAATTGGTACAGCCATATAGAAAACGGCATGAAGTTACCTCAAAAAATTAAAAATAGAACTACCTTATGATCCAGCAATTCCATTTCTGGATATATAGCCAAAGAAAATGAAATCAGTATGTCGAAGACATATCTGCACTCTCATGTCCATTGCAGCATTATTCAAAATAGCCAAGACAGGGAAATAACTTAGGTGTCTATTCACGGATGAGTGAATACAGATAATGTGATGTGATGTATATATATATATACACACACACAAATATATATATACAATGAAATATTATTCAGCCATAAAAAATAAGGCTATCTGTGACAGCATGGATGACTGTGGAGGACATTATGCTAAGAGAAATAAGCCAGACATGGAAAGACCAATACTGTATGATCTCAATTAAATGTGGAATTTTAAAAAGTCAAACTCATAGGACCAGAGAGTAGAATAGTGGTTGTCAGGACTGGGAGGTGGGGGAAGTGGGGAGATGATGGTAAAAGGGTACAAACTTTCAGTTATGAAAAGTTCTGGGCTGGATGCAGTGGCTCATGCCTGAGGTCAGGAGTTCGAGATCAGCCTGAGTGAGACTCTGTCTCTACAAAAAAAGAGAAAAATTGGTGATTGCACACCTATAGTCCCAGCTACTTGCAAGGCTCAGCAAGAGGATCGCTTGAGCCCAGGAATTTGAGGTTGCAATGAGCTAGGCTGATGCTACTACACTCTAGATGGGGCGACAGAGCAAGACTATATCTCAAAAAAAAAAAAAAAAAAAGATGAGTAAGTTCTGGAGAATCTAATGTACAGCATGGTAACTACAGTTAATAATACTCTATTGTTTACTTAAAATTTGCTAAGAGAGAAGATTTTAATTGTCCTCACCCCCTGCCCTCCTCCAGACAAATGGTTACCTTAGTGTGGTGATGAATATGTTAATTAATTTGACTGTGGCAACCATTTCACGATGTATACATATATCAAATCATCATGTTGTACACCTTGAATATACACAATTTATATTTGGCAATTATACCTCAATACAGCTGAAAAAAATTTAAATAGTAAAATGTATATAATACCTAAATAGTAAAATATGTATAATACCCAGAAATCCCGCTTCTCAGGTGCTACTCTAGTCCTAAATGTATGTAAAGATACTTCTATAAGGTCTTAAGGTCTTTTTCACTGCAACTATGTTTGTAATGGCAAAAAAAAGAGAAATCTTCCTGAACATTTATTAGTGGATGAATGGTACATCCATAATATATATCATTACACAGAAGTTCAAAACAATGTGATCTATGTGTACTGATAAGAAAAGAAGTTCAAGACTATTAAGTGAAAAAACAATGTGGTGAACAATATCATATTCCCATTTATGGAAAACAAAACAATGTATTTTATATATACATGTATATTTAAACACATAATGGGCTAGAAACCCACTAATAGAAATACAAGCCACAAATGTAATTTAAACTTTCTAGTAATCACATGAAAATGTGAAAAAAATAAAAATAAAATTACTTTTAATAACATATTTCATTTAATCCAATGTATCCAAAATATTGTCACTATATTATAATCAATATAAAAACTTAGTAAAAAGACACTTTATATTCTTTTTGTTCATTCTAAAGTCCAGAGTATATTTTACATTTACAGTACATCTCAATTCAAACTACCCACATTTTAAATGTTTAATAGCCACATGTGGTAGTGGCTACTACAGTGGACGGTATTGATCTAGAAGAATACATTTCACACTGGTAACAGCGATTATTTCTGGAAAAGATAGTATTTTAACTAACTCATGCATTACTTATATAATGATATCCAGATCAAGGGGCGGGACCAGGGAAAAATGAAATAAAATAATACCATTCATAATAGCAAACACACACAGAAACACACACAACCTAAGGATAAAACTAAAGAATGATATGCAATGGTTCTACATTGAAAAACATTATAAAACATTGCTTGAAGAGATTTTTGTAAGGCCCAAATAAATAAATGGAGAAATATACCATGTTTATGGAATATAAGATTCAAATATATATTCATATATATATATATGAATATATTCAATGCTATCCCAATCAAAATTCTAGCAAGATGTTTAAGTGGAGGAAAGGGAACTGATAAGCTAATTCTTAAATGTGTGTGTGTATGTGTGTGTGTATAAAACCTTGAATAGTCAAAGCAATCTTGGCATGTAGAACAAAGCTACAAGAATTGCATTATCAGATATCTAAACTCATTAAAAAGCTACAGTAATTAAGCACTATGCTACTGGCATAAAGATAGACAAAAAGATTAACAGAACAAAATACAAAAGTCCTTATATGTATATTTTGTATCTTACTTATGACAAAAGCAGCAGGCAGGAAGTCTGATGACTATTCAGTGCTGGGTCAATTGGATATTAATATGGGAAAAAACCTAAACTTTGATCTCTACCTCAAACCAAACACATAATTCCAAGTGGCAGTAGACCTAAATGCAAATGGCAAAACAATAAAGTCTCATAGGAGAGTATCTTCATGATCTTGGGATACACAAACATTTTCTTAAACAGGGCACAAAAGACTACCTATTAAACAAAAGGATTGATAAATTGGACTTTACCAGTGTTTGGTATGATATTGGATAGAGAAGATGAAAATTAAGAAAGATAGCTTCAGAGGCAGAGGCAGAAATGATTCAGTGAAACCCAAGAAAGTAAAACACTGCTAAGAAGTCAAAAATAGGATCTTCTATGCAAAGGGACCAGACCAGCAGGGTGAAAGCATAAAGCAAGTAGACTTGCATGAATAGATTATAAGTAATGAAGAAAAATGGTGGGAAAAGGTTACGAAGGGCTTTGAACTTACCCTATAGGCAACTGGAAGCTGTCCATCAAAGGTTTTTAAGCAGGTTTTTTTTGATCATGTAATTTATGATGAGAACTAAATTTTAAAAGAGTAACTCAGAGAGCTCTGTAGAAGATGGGCTGGATCAAGATGAAACTAGAATCTGGGCAGAGCTAAAAGTGGGCTTCACAAATTAGAATACTTATATACCCCAGTGTGACAAAAGGTATACAAAGCTACCTAATAAAATAAACAGCATTGTTTCTAAGAGTGTCCACTTTACTTGAATATTTGGGGAAAAACAATTTTACATTAAAATAAACTCTAATATTACATAGTTATACGCAACATTCATATGAATCATTTAAATGATAATGACAATGATTAATGCCAACAATAACAGTAGCATCCTTTTTGAACCCTCATTATGTCTAAGGCACTGTATTCACCAAGCAGTTTATATGAACTAATTCATTCCAATCTCACAACACTAAGCAAAGTAAGTCCTATTAGAATCACCTCCTCCATCTAACTACACATACAGAGTTATTTTCTCAGATATGTGTTTCTATATATTTTTTTTCTTTTTACATCTAATTTATTTTTATTCAGGTTTAATAATCCCTTACATTGCTGAAAATATAACTTGGTATAACTACTTTGGAAAATTGGCAAACACCTCCTAAATCTAAACATCATATTTATGACCAAGTATGTAATAGACATTAGTATTGATATTCATCAAAAGACATGCACAAAAATGTTTATAGCAGCTTTTTTATTTATATACATATATAAATGTATAAAACAGCCCAAAACTAGAAACAACTCATGTGTCCACTTTAAGGAGTTATATAATTTTTAGTTCACATAGTAATAAATGGCATAGCCAAAATTCAAGCCTAAGTCGTCTAATATATAAATTCACACTCTCAACCACTATATTACCCTGGAAAGAAATTACCTACTCATGGCAGCAGCTTCAGGCTATGCTCATAGACCCAAGTAGTATACACCCTTTTCCTCTACTTATAGGAGAAAGTCTATGAAAAGTGTGAAGCCAGGCACAGTGGCATGTACCTGCAGTCCTCACTACTGGGAAGGCTGAGGCAGGAGGATTGTTTGAGGACAGGAGTTAAAGGCCCACATAGGCAACATAGTGAGACTCTGTCTCTATTTTTGAAGAAAAGTGTAAAAAGTTCTGAGATTAGGTTCCTGCCATAGTCAGATTTCTATTACAGGAAGAAGAGAATACACTAACCAAAAAGCATGATAATGAGAGGAGGAAGTAGTTTGGGCAACAGGACAATGGTAAATGCAGAAGTAGGGGTATATAGAGGACTAAGTCAGGTACGCTGAGTTGAAGATGCATGTTCAGGAGACAGTTGTATAAAGAAATATAAAGCTCAGGAGACAAATCAGACTGATAAAAAAAATTTAGAGTCATAAGCATACTTTCATGTAAGATTTCCTGAATAAAAAACAATGTCTCTAAGACAACGTAATTTATACACTCTTCTGACAATTAATATTAGCTCACAGTAAGGTCTCTATGGGCATCTGAAATTAATTTTGAAACCATTAAAGCAGACAGAAGGTTAGTCAAAATAAAAAATCCTGTGGAGAAGCTATCACCTTCCCCATTAAGTATCTGACAGTTAAGAGAAAATCAAGCAGATAAACTGGTTTCAGGCTTCTATCTTGCTATTTGGGAAAATCCTAAAACTTATCATAGCCAAAGATGCAAAAGGCAGAAAGATACAGTTTGGTATCCTTACCACTCATAGCATTTACAGTGTTAATTTTTGCTTCAAAAGGCAGTTTACTGTATTTTATTTCAGTATCAAAATAATGCAAAAGGGCAAACAAGGTACAATTTAAATTCACAGATAAAATGTAAGAATTAGATATAAAAAAGTACATTCTCGGAACTTTTTATACCAAAGAGGGTATGACTGCCATTTAAGAGAGTTCTCAAAGTTCTAATCAGTGCAATAATTAAGAGGGAAAAAAGTAGGGATATAGCATAAAGACAGAA